TTAGGAAAATATAAAATTAACATACAAATTAGGGTTCCATACACTTAAGACAAGCTCTCTGATAAAATACAGGAAGAAAACAATCTTATTTACAATAGCATTAAAATGACAAATTTCAAGAACAAATTTAACAAAGGAGGCAAAAAATCTTTACAATGATATATCAGTAATAGAAATTAGAAAAGGCATAAATAAATTTTAAAATATTTCATGTCTATGGCCGGGTGCGGTGGCTCACATCTGTAATCCCAGCACTTTGGGAGGCTGAGACGGGCAGATCACGAGGTCAGAAGATCGCGACCATCCTGGCTAACAGGTGAAACCCTGTCTCTACTAAAAATACAAAAAAATTAGCAGGGCATGGTAGCAGGCGCCTGTAGTCCCAGCTACTCCGGAGGCTGAGGCAGGAGAATGGTGTGAACCCAGGAGGTGGAGCTTGCAGTGAGCCAAGATCACACCACTGCACTCCAGCCTGGGCAACAGAGCGAGACTCCGTTTCAAAAAAAAAAAAAATTTCATGTCTATGCATTTAAAGAATAAATACTGTTAAAGTACCGTGTTACCCAAAGTGATCTATAGATTCAATAAACTCTCTAACAAAATTTCAGTGGCAACTTTTCTAAGTAATGGAAAATACAGCTTTAGAATTTCCATGAAACTACAATAAACTTTGAATAGTCAAAGCAATCTTAAAAATAAAGAACAAAGCAGAAGGGCATCATACGTTTTAACTTCAAACTATATTTGAAGACTATTGTAATATAAACAAGATAAAATGTGCAAAAAAATGAACCAAAAAAAAATGGAACAGAAACTACTACTCACATTTCACACATGATGTAAAAAGAAAACTTAAAAAATTATTTAACACAGAGTTTCTTAAAATTATGCAGATTTGTGTGTTCCCAAAAAGAATGTAAAAGTAGTCAGACTGTGCAGTTTTTTATATGCCATGAAGAGGATGGTGGCTCTCACTGAAAACTTGAAAGAAGATCACCAGAAAGAAAGTAGAATCCTTAGAAAATTTAAAAGCATAAAACAGAAGATGTCCAAATGTGAGAGGAAAAAAAACAAAACAAACAAACAAAAAACCCTCAGGCTTCCCAGAAACAATTTCCTATAAAACACAGCTTTCCAACTCACATTTTAACAACTGGCTTTCTCCTTAATTTTTAGATCTCTCATCTGTGTCATCCATTGTATTCACCTTCACTCTCACCTACCTGGGGGTTCGTCCACCATCTCATGTCTCTTCATATTCCAGGGCTCTTTTTCTTGCTCCAGACAGGTGATCAGGTCTGGCTTAGAGACAATAATACCTGTTTCATTACAAATAAATAACGTAAATTTTGCTCATATTCTCCAATTACCAACCTAGTTATGTGTTCAGTAAAGAGGGTGTAATAAAATATTTTCATAAAGTAATCATAAAATACTGATTTCTAACAGAGAATTTTAAATATTTTAAATTTGTAGGTTATTAATTTCACTACCCAGTAATACTGAGTTAAAACTTGGTGTTGGCAATTAGATTTTAAGGTATGGGCAACAATATTTTATGTCACTAAATTAATGAAATTACTGCTAATCTAGAGTAAAGGACACAGATCAGCTCAGGAATGTGGAAAGTTCAGGTCAAGATGAAACATCCTGAAGAAGTTATTTTATACATGGGCAAATCCCCAAGATTCTCTTGAAAACATGGATCTGAAACTCATTTATGCAAAGCATAAATTACCAAAACATACTGTACAAAAGAGAGAAATGAAACCATTAAGGTATGTTTGGAATTGTGTGTTGAAGTTATCCTCACCCAGGAAGACCAGATTCCTGTAGTTCTCTAACATCATGTTCCTATATAAATGCCACCATGCAGTGTCCAAGAATTGCCACTCCGTCAGAGAGAATTCTATGGCCACATCTGTAAATGTCAACAGTCCCTGAAAAACACAAACACACACACACACACACACACACACACACACACCAGGTAGCCAGCAGAATTTATAACTTGACTAAAGGCAAAATGAGAGAGTAAAAAGAACTGGTTCTGACTTACAGGAGTCACTGAAATTATCCAATAAAATATTTATTTACACAGAAATATGTCCTAATGTATTCTCTAATCCTGAGAAAAGAGAATGGCATAAGATCCACACCACCAGTGTATCTATAATACTTTTCTGGATGATAAAGTATAAAATTAAGGGCATAAACACAAATGTGCATGCTTTTCAGTGCTCTATTTGCATCATACAGAATCAGTTATGTATGTTTTTCAGGTGGAAAAGATATGTTGAGTTGGAAGTTACCTCTACAATTTGTCATTTTTAGTAGCGATTTTAAATAGTCTGTCTTTGACACCCTAATAGCAAGTATCTCCTAATATAGTTTTTAGAAGTTTTTGTGTAATAAATGCCATCTTGTTTAAATGAGCATTTTCTAAACAGTGTTCTGCATAGAGCTAATGGAGAACACAGATGGAATCTCAACATTAGATGTTCTTCATGTTTACTAAGGACTCCAGCTTTTCCCAATAGGAATCTTGAGTATCCACACCTTCCCGTGTTCAGCACCACAAGGGGAACATTTTTAATACTGCAGACCATAAATTCCTGGTGAGAATTTTGCATGGCATATAAGAAGCCATGATGTAAAGAATGTAGAGAAAGCTATGGTATATAGGAAATAAACATTTTTCAGAGACCTTGACTATCATAAAAAATTTAAAACATACCTAAAACAAACTTATTAGGGATAAAAAACAAGTAGAGAGATTAAGGTTTGCAAGTACCGAATGCATGGCATTCCAGGAGGCAGAGTGGACACAGCTCTTTATATGAGACATGTTTAGCTGAAAAAAAAGTCATTTTTTCCTCTTTCTCCTCCTTCTCTGGAAATGCACTTCAGATGAGATTCTCTGGACAAATTACATCTGGATCTGGAGAATATGCCTTAAAAGTGTCAGCACCACATGTTTACCTGCTACCACCACACCCACAGGCAGAAGGACCAAGAGCTGCAAAAAAAGTCCACCCATTTCTGTTTTTTATATTAAAAAAAAAAAAAAGACTCAGGAATGATGAGCTGTTCCATGGAAATAAAAGTAAAAGCTTCTTCTTTCCTGTCCTCAGGTGACCTCCCTTTTAATAGACTCCATCAATTTCTGCTACAGTAATGAAAATATGAGCCACACTTTCCTGTCACTACCAAACCCAAACAGAACAGGCCCTGTGACCACCTTTTAGTTCAAAGGTGGAACTTAACTCTCATAAATGTATCCTGAACCTCTCATACTCGATTCTGGCCTCACCTAAGAGTCACATGAGGCAGTTAATTTAAGCAACATGAATGCTTCTACTCAGAATTATAAATAGAACCTGTAGTAAAAAAAAAAAAAAAAAAAAAAAGCATGAGTAAAGAAATTTCAGCACATTAGCCATCTCATCCTAACTAGAAACATGGGCTGATAACCATTTAGCCAAGCATTGCCCCTTAAGATTTAATAAGTTTAAAAATCAATTGGTAATTTTGGCCCCACTCTGTGCGATATAATTCTGCAGGTTTGGAAAGCGTCCCTGAGTATTTTACACAAGTTCCCAGTTAATGCTGGTGTTGCTTCCCCTGGGCTCATCATTAGCAGTAGTTAGAGAAAGCAGGCACAGCAAAGAGTCCGTTACACTCAGCACCCTTGTCACAACACACATACTTCTAGGACAAATGAAGACAACCAATTTCCTTATTCTTTGCTGGTTCTTTAAATTTTACAGAACAAACAGAAGGCAGCAATGTTTGAATAAGTTTACATTTGGAAACTAACATGTGCACATGTACTAACGCAATGTTTATTAAGCAGGTACTATGGGCTCAAGAGTATGTTACAGAGCACTGTGTTGGGTATAACATACTGTGTGATTTAATCATCATAACACCCTGTAAGCTGGTACTGTCTTTAATAATTCCCAGATTTTACACAGGGGGCCTAGCATTTTTATGTCTCCTTCTGATTATCTGTCATTGATATTTTTTTTTAAAGTATAGAATAAAACCTAAACATAGACAGGTAAAAGGGATATAGAAGGAGTTTATATAGTTTAGCAGAATTTGTATTGTGTTTATATTTACTTTTTGTGACTTGTGGAACAACTACTAGATCTGCAGAAATAGAGGACAAGCTGTACTTGGACTGTCTCTGCTAGCACTGTTTAAAAAAAAAAAAATAGGCCAGGCACGGTGGCTTACACCTGTAATCCCTGCACTTGGGGAGGTTGAGGCGGGTGGATCGCATTTTAGCAAGAGGAGAAAAGGGAAAGAGGAGATTCTCACATCTACATGTCTACTCAGGGCACACGTTCCTCTGATTGGGTATCTGCGCTCCATGGTCTGCGAATTAGTTTCAGGACTGAAGATACAAGAGTCACTGAAAGAGGTAAAACGGTTGATTGCCGCCCTGTCAAGTTTGTAGGAATCTGGTCTAGTCTCTCTAGAAGTGACTATAGAAAACTACAGGTACCTAATAGGCAGAGACACAATTCTGCCTGCATATTTAAGGGAAAGCAGGCACTTTGCAGCAAATTTGTGAGTTGACTGGAAGGCTGAGGGGGAAAAGTTCCCTCTATGGTAAATTCTGGTTGGCACCTTATACGTTTTTATCATGTCTGATAATTCTAGACATTGTTTGGAAAATATAATTGAAAGAAAAATTTTCTCCATCCCCAGAGAAACACCACAATGACAGAACAGTAAGAATTGTGTTTTATTTTTTTTATGCTACGTTCAAATGTATTTTTTTGATAATACAAAAAAGTAATCCTTGAAAAATCAGAATACATAACAGAAAAGAGCACAATAGCTTAAGTATTAAACATCTGTATGAAATAACTGTTGCAAAGATTGACAAAAATGCACACTTAGAACATGCGGTTATTTAAAAACAAACAAAACACCACACGATTCTGTAGAACCAATGTTATGTCACCACCAGGAGAGCACGAAGCAAGGCACCACTGGAAAAACAACATACTTGGAAAGTCTCTATAAATAAATGCTAATCTGGTCGAAAAAGAGGTGTCTTTGGTAAAAATTCTACGAGGATGACATATTCCATCATGTTATTCGTTTCACATTTCCTTTTGCTCAGTCTCCAATGCAAGCACAGCTTGTGGTATAACCTATTGTTTTCCCATTCTAATAACTTCTCAATCGATCTTCGTGTCCTTTTACTGAGGCAAATAACTGGCCACATACTGCAACCTAACGTGCAGCAGCAACAAAGGCAGCCACAAAGTAGCCAACGTACATTAACGGCAAGGTTCTTCTTAACACAACTGTTAACTCTATTGATGCTGGCTTTAAATTCTTCAGGAGCTAATTTTCCAGTTAATGAAGAAGGGAATTCTGATTCAAATTTGTTACTCAGTCCAAATACCGTGACGTGACCGGAGCCGCGGACGACCACCGGGTCCGGCGAGTACTTGAGCAGCTGATCCTCCAGGGCCCACTCCTCGTCCTCCTCTTCCTCATAGATTTCGTCGAAATCCGCCATCCTGAGCCTCCGAGCGCCCCTGCCCAAAGGGGCCTGACTCCCGGGGTTGGCGCCGGGGTACCGGTGGGCGAGGCAGTGGAGGCTGAGGGGAGTCGCCGCTGCCACCGCTTCGAGGCCGCGGAGTTCGCTGTCGGCTGTCTCGGCTCCAGCTACAGAGGAGATGGGGTCGGGACCGTAGCCACCACTATCATCAGCAATAACAACACAATATCAACATCCGCCCAGAGGCCGACACCTCCACAAGCACAGAGGCCGCTGCCTGGGCAGCAGCAGTAGCAACTCACGCAACCACAGCAACAGCCTGAGCCACCCGCAGCGGGAGCAACCGGCTACGGTATCGCGAGACTTCCCCGGCCTACGGGTGGGCGGGAGCGTGCGCAGGCGCGTGGGCGCGAGGACTCAAGAATTGTGTTTTATTACCTAATTAATTGAGAATGCGTCGTGCATCACAGTCTATCTGCTTAACAGATTGCAAAGAAAGAAAGATGGTCACCATAATTAGTCCACGAGTAGAAGAATATACGGCACCATGTCATACATAGTTCATCCTGAATTCACCTGGTAACTGGAGAGGCTATTCATGTATGCTAATTGGTTATATTCAGTGATAAAATAAACTTTTCACATCTTCACAATGTAAGGTAGTTTTGCAACTTGAAGCCAGGTGCCTGCCGAAAGCAGGCTCACTCTGCTACACAAATGGTTGATTAGGGTGCTGTCTTTTTGGTTATTAACGTTTTAAAGCAATGGCTCTCTACTCCCTGAGCCTTGGGTTATAGCAATCCTGCTTGCCGTCTCCTCCTGATGGCTAGTGCCCTTTCTTGAACCCTACCATCTGCTACTGAGGTACAGCCCACAGCACAGGGCTCACAGCTGGAAACTCACGTCTTACATGAACCCCAGTTGCCACAGCAGCACTTGAGTGCCACATCAGAGAATGAAGCCTGAGCAGCAGGAGGAGAGCCTGCAGACCTCCTAGTTAGAACTGCACCTTCACGATAATGGAAATGAAAGCAGTGTTTCAGCCTCAGTTTCTGTTTATAATGGTGACATGAAAAAAATACTGCTGGATTTCCAGCATGAGTCACATAGAGATAGGTCTAAGAGTTCCCCCTGTGACAGACCACCTCATTCACAGACACCATGGGATACTAACAGGACCCCTGAAACAGCCACGCAAAGCACTGGAGAGAAAAGCAGCTCTCAGTCTGAGAAAGATTATATTGAGAAAAGAAAGCGAAAGGCGTCTTAAGAACACTTCTGTTAGATATAAACTTGATCCAATCAGCCAGAAAATATTCTCCTTAAAGGAATTTCTCTCTAAAACCCCAAAGCACCGCGGGACATAGTGGCTTATGCCTGTAATCCCAGCACTTTGGGAGGCTGAGGCAGGCAGATCACTTGTGGCCAGGAATTCAAGACCAATCTGGCTAACATGGTGAAACCCTATCTCTACTAAAAATCCTAAATCAGCTGGACTTGGTGGCGTGTGCCTGTGATCCCAGCCACTCAGGAGGCTGAGGCAGGAGAATCACCTGAGCCTGGCAGGCGGAGGTTGCAGTGAGCCAAGATCACGCCACTGCACTCCAGCATGGGTGACAGAGCGAGACTCTGTCTGAAAATAAATAAATAAATAAATAAAATAAATAAAAAGAGATATTTTTCAGAGACCCTTGACTATCAGTAAAATTAAAAAAAAATAGTTAAAACAAACTCATTACGGAGGAAAAACACGAGAAGTAAAGGTTTGCAAGTACTAAACGCATGGAATTTCAGGAGGCAGAGTGGACACAGCTCTTGATCTGAGACGTGTTTAGCTGAAAAAAAAAAAAAGGCATATTTTTTTCCGTATCTCCTCCTTCTCTGGGATTCCTTTTCGGTTGAGATTCTCTGGACAAATTACACCTACATCTTGAGAATATGCCTTTAAAGGTGTCAGCACCACCTGTTTACCTGCTACCTCCACACCCACAGGCAGAAGTACCAAGACCCACTGAAAAAGTCCACCCACTTCTGTCCTTCATAACATGAAAAAATCAGGAACAATTAATTGCTCCATGATGATAGAAATATATGTTTCTCCTTTCCTGTCTTCGGTGCCCTTCCCTGCCACAGATACCAACAATCTCTGCTACAGTAATAAAAATATGGGCCACACTGCCCAGTCCACACCAAACCCAAACAGAACAGGCCCTATGATCACCCTGTAGAAAACAGCTGAAACTGAACTCTCATGAGTGTATCTTCAACCCCTCATACTTGATTCTGGTCTCACCTTAGAGTCACATGAGGCACTTAATTAAAACAACATGGATGCGTCCAACAATAAAAAGAACCCGTGGAAAGGGCACGAGCAAAGATATTTCCGTGAATTGGCAATGTAATTTGAGTATCCACATCTAAGTAATCCACATTACTCACAATGGCAAAAACTGTAGTAACTTTTGCACCAAATGAATAGAACCCTGGGTTTATAACCACTTAGCTAAACATTGCCTCTCAAGCTTTAATGAGCCTATAAACCACTCGGTAATTTTAGTCCCTCTCTATGTAATGTGATTCTGCAGGTTTTCAAAGGGTACATGAATGTGTGTTTTAAATAAGTCCCCTGTCAATGCTGATGATGCTCCCCCTAGGCTTATTACTAGCATTAGTTAGAGAAGCAGGCACAGCACAGAGTCCCTTACACTTGGCATTCTTGTCACAACACAAATACTTCTGGCACAAATGAAGACAACCAATCTCCATCCTAAAGTATCAAATTCTTTGCTGGCTCTTTAAAGTTTACAGAGGCAACAAAAGGTAGCAGTGCCTGAATAAGCTTGCATTTGGAAAACAACATGTACACATGGACTAATGCAATGTTTACTAAGCAGGTACTATGTGCTCAAGAGTATGTTGCAGAGCACTGCGCTAGAAATAACACATTATGTGATTTAATCCTCATAACACACTGGGAGTTGGTACTAAGTGTTTAATAATTCCCAGCATTAGGTGAAGGGCCCAGCATATGTATTTCACCTTCTGTTTCTGTTCTTGGTTTTTTTTTAAAGAAATGTATAGAATAAAAGCTAAATGTAGACAGATGACCGGAATACAGAAAAGTTGAATGCAGTTTAGAAAAATTTGTATTGTGTTTATATTCACTCTTTTGTGACTTGTGGAGCAACAACTGAATCTGCAGGAATAGAAAACAAGTTGCTAAATGGAATGTCTCTGCAAGCACTGATTTAATAGAAAATTTAAAAATGAAGACCTTAAAATACTACTTTATTTTTCCCATTTATCTCCTTTGGGGTACAGAAAATTGTGAGCACCAGTTTTAGAAAGGCAGCAGGATTCACCAGCCAAAACTCTCTGAGGCAAGACTCCAGAGTGGGGCCAGATCTAAATAGGACCCCCAAATAGAGTGAATCTGAACAGAACTGGGGTAGGGAGTGGACCTTACGTAGAATTCTGTTCTCTGTGCCACTGGGGTATTTCCAGTTCTGTTTTCCTAAGCTTGCCTAAGAGAAACTTATATCTCAGAGTTTGTATAATTTTTTTTTAACCACTACCCTGTCAATTATATAATGCGTACTAATAAGCAATTTAAATAAATGTCTTAAGGCTTTCTAGGGTAATTATTAGAATATAAATATATATTATTAGCAGGAAATAGAAATGCATGTAATAATAACAACTCTTCTGTTCATAAATATCCCCTTAGTTGATGACATAAGAAGTCACTACAATATGAAGAAAGTGGCCCAAATAAAGCCCAAGGTTTTTTGCACACATCTGTTCATTGTATCAACCACATGATGCTTAATTCAACCCTTTATTCAGGTGCTAGCCTAGACTAAAAGTTCCTGGATGGTAGGAACCATGACTGCTACATCTGTTTTTCTAATGGTCGTATAAAATAAAAGCAATTAGTTTATATGTTTGAGTCTTCAGACGTCCTGGTTGTTTGTCACCCAAGTACCAGAAAACTGGAGAAACTCTCATCTGGGTACCCACCAAAGTCATCTCCTGTGTAAGGGGAGGAGCAAATACAGGATGACTCAATTTTCTACACTGAGACAGAAGCAGAATTAACCACTTTTGTTACCCTGGCACAATTCTGCTCTGGACATCCTCAAATGCCTCAAAGATGCCCAGCTGATTGTGAGAGTTCCCAGTGACCCTGGGCTGATGGCCCAGTGATAAGCCAGGCAGGAGAGACTCAAGCTAATTCTTTTTTTTTTTTTTCCTTTGAGACGGAGTCTTGCTCTGTCTGCCAGGCTAGAGTGCAGTGACACAATCTCAACTCACTGCAACCTCTGACTCCCAGGTTCAAGTGATTCTCCTGCCTCAGCCTCCTGAGTAGCTGGGATTACAGACACCCACCACAGCGCCTGGTTAACTTTTGTATTTTAATTAGAGACAGGGTTTCACCACGTTGGCCAGGCTGGTCTCAAACTCCTAAGGTGATCCGACCACCTCGGTCTCCCAAAGTGCTGGGATTACAGGCATGAGCCACTGTGCCCAGGCGTTGCCAAACTTTAAAAAGGAAAAAGAAGTGTTCAAGACCATTTAAGTCCTTCCCCAAACTAGCACACTGTCAGTTCACAGGTTTCTACTGCCCTGATTAAATAAGGTCAGCCAGATTTAGGCTTTCTAAAACAGATTCTGTATCTCAATGGAAACAGCTGTAAAAGCACCTGGCAATGGGCATAGATATAGGAGGGATGAAAAATTGCTACAGTTTTTGCAATGAATATTATTCTGCCTTTTTCGCATATGTGGTTTATACAACTCTTTTACACCAAGAAACTTTTCCAAAGATCGACAGCTACCAAGTGGCTGGGCTGAAACTCAGGATAAACTGAATTTGTTGATTTATGCTGCTCCATAGATCAAACTATTGACTTCTGCAGACCCATGAAATGCTGGAGAATGATACTTTTACAACAGAAGCCGGATTTTGTGTGTGGTGTGTGTGTGTGCGCGCGCCCATGTAGTACTGTTTATTATTGGGAATAATCCTGTCAAGAAATTGCAGAAGCACAGGGTGCCTCACACCTATAATCCTAGCACTTTGGGAGGCTGAGTTGAAAGAATCACTTGAGTTCAGGAGTTCAAGCGCAGCCTGAGCAACATAGTAAGAACCTGTGTCTACGAAAACAGTTTTCAGGCTGGGCGTGGTGGCTCACACCTCTAATCCCAGCACTTTGGGAGGCCGAGGCAGGCAGATCACGAGGTCAGGAGATCGAGACCATTCTGGGTA